AACTGTTTTCTCCTTTGCTTGTTGGTATTGTATATTTACTTACCAGGGGTGGGTACTAGCCGGTGTTATTGCCGGTTCGCTCATGGCCACGTTTCATGCGCATGCGCAGTTTAATAGAAATTGTTCTGCGCATGCACAGAACCCAAAGACAAGATGGGAACTGGGGAACTGGTTTGGAGGCGTGGCCAGCCTGGGTTGCTGCTGGTTCTGCGATCCAGGCCAGCATGCCACTACTGGTTCGGCCAAACGGGGCCAAACCGGTAAGAACCCACCAAAGTTACTTATGTGTTATATTATATATAAAGAGAAGTTAATGAATACAGTTGAATCAGTTATCTGTGTGTGCTTTCTGGATTTGATTTCTGCAACAAACTCTGATACCTGAATGCCATACTGCACTAAACCATAGTTTGTTTCCGAAGTGAGGCGTGGGAGGAGTAACACATGGGTATTAACCCAGCCCTTTTGCCCTGGAGATTGAGATAAATCTTGAGGCCACACCTCCATTCCTCCTTCTGACCTCCCAGATTAACCTCAGTCTCCAGCCCAGAAGGAGTGTTTTTCCTGACTTTCCCTCACTTTGAAGACTAAGGGTTTTTCCAGGAATTTTTTTTTTCAGGAGTGTTCAGCCTTTTTTACTAATCCTTCAGGATTCTACAGGCTCCAAGAGTCTTTTTTACAGATTTTTTAGCAAGATTACTGAAGATCGTCTCACCCCTCCTTGGTGTGCTCAGCATTGCTAGCAAGCCGCGCCGCTGGCTAGCGTGATCCCAAGCAACCGGATGGTTGCATAAGCAGGAAAAAGGCCCCGCAAAGCATTTGGAGACTCCACGCACGCAGGAGGCCATCAAAGGACCGGGGAGCCGGCAGATTCCTCCCCAACGCTCCCAAGCTTCAGGGATTTGGGTCGCAGATCAGCAGCCGCCATCTTGGTCCTCCGCCATCTTAGGAGCACGTGAGTGAGCGCGTGACCGGTGTTCCTTCTATGGACGCCGAAAGCGCTGAGAACACCGCTGAAGCCAGAAGAGGCTTCGAAGGCCCCAGTCCACTGGCTCTCTGGGGAGCACCCAATCCAAGCGGTGCGCCGGCATTCGGGCCGCAGATCAGCAGCAGGGAACGCTGTAGAGCAAAGCCCAGCAGCCAATACGCTTTCTGAGCGAAGCCGGCCAGAAGAAGGGAGGCGGTGAGCAGCGTAACCGTGAGTACAATGGCGGAGGCGGCAAGGAACAGGGGTGCCAGGCCCAGAGCACAGGTAGATTCCGATCCGGACGAGGGGACCTCCAGGAGGGCTCCCCCAGTCACCAGAGGGAGGTCCCCCGCCAAGAGAGGCACCCCCAGGCCCCATAAGAAGGGAATTTTTGAGAAGGAAGTTTGGATCACCAGGGCCTCCGCTAGAAGGTTCAGGGCCACCATCAGCCCTTCCCCTTCCAGATCTCGCTCCCCCCGCAGGCTTCCGGCCCTGGAAGAGACCCATGTGGCATCCCCAGATTCCTCTAGGGGCTGAGGCAGAGGGCACAGCTCCCTATCACCCCCCCCTCTCGCCTGCACATCCATCCGAGGCGAGGAGCAACCCCTTTGGGCGCAGGGCACCCAGTCCAGCCAGGCAGCTGTTGGCACTGCAATCCCCTGAACCCAGGGATTATCTGCAGCCCCCAGAGTTCCAGCCTTCCCTGCCTGAGCTTCCTACAAGCTTCCAGGAGGTGTTAGCCAGAGCCATAGCCCAGGGGATTGCTTCTGGGATGAAACACCAGCCCCAGAACTCCAGGAGTGGGTCTGCCCAGGACCAGGTCAGGGGTCACCAGGATTGCTCCAGGGCCTCTGTTTCCAGAGGGCCCAGGTCTCCCTCCCCCTCCACTGCCAATGAGGCCTCGGAGTTAGAGGAGGGTGAGTTAAAGGAGGTGGGGTTTTCTGAGGATGAGGATGCCCAGGCAACGGAGGCCCCCAACATCACTGGCCTCTTTCCTCCCTCCTTATTTAGTTCGCAAAGCCAGGGCCACAGCAGACCTGGATACACCTCCAGATCCCAGCCCTGCGACTACTATGCCTAGCACTAGCGGGGGTAACAAGAAGGGGCCCTTCCATAGACCACCGGTGGAGAAGGAGGAGATCCCCACTGCAGAGATGTTCCTGGAGGTGCTTAAATCCCAGTGGGTTAAGCCAGGATCATTTCCCAACCCGGGGAGTAATGAGCGGAGGTTCTATAATCTCAATTCTACCTTTGCCCAAGGCAAAGGCCATCAAGCACCTGTTAGATATCAGGGCCATTGAGAGGGTTCCAGAGGAGGAGAAGGGTTCCGGATTCTACTCGAACCTGTTTCTGGTCCCCAAGAGCTCAGGGGGGGGGGTGGAGAGCCATCCTGGATCTTAAACTGCTCAATTCCAGGGTGGTCTACCGTAGGTTCAAGATGGCTTCCCTGAAATCCATCTTCTTGGCCTCCATCGAGCTCACGGAGGCCTACCTTCACATCAGAATCGCCCCGGAACATTGTAGGTTCCTCAGATTTTCCCACGAGGGCAATCATTTTCAATATAGAGCCCTTCCCTTTGGGCTGGTTTCAGCCCCCAGGACCTTTACCAAGGTGCTGGCCGCGGCCGCGGATCACCTGCGTTCCTTCCCAGTCCGACTCTTTTGTTACCTGGATGACATCCTCGTCCTGGCCAGGTCCCCAGACACTGCCAAGCAGGAACTGGGGATCACCATCGACACTCTCAGGTCCCTGGGATTCTC